ACGGCCCTTTGACACAAGGGCGCTGATGAGGAACTTGTGCTAGAGTTAATTATCTCCACCATGCTTATGTTATCAGAACTTTTTGACACCCATTCTCACTATACATTTCACGTCACTGTAACGATTTTATTACTTCTGCGTTTTACCTGCCTAGTGTGGGGAATTTTAAGGACCTTATACAGCCACTCAACATATTCATAGTTCATATCTCTTGTCCTGTCACCTGGTGCTCTTTGGTCATTAAATGGTCCTTGTGCCACAAAACACCACATATCATCATCATCAGACCTTCTATACGCGTGAGTGCGTGCATATAAGATTGGGGTTAAGAAGAAAGACAAGATCGAGTGTGTTGCCACGAGTGAGAGTATCATCTGCACGAGGTTGAATAGGAGAGAGAGCTGAATGAATGTCATTTGCTAGCCGGGAAGATAGGTTTGGCCAGTTTATATTCAGAAGATTAAAGTTCCTGCACAGAAAGGAATTTGCGCGAGGAAATCCGTTCAAATCAGCAACACCAACTGCATGTCATTGATATAGGCATAGTCACAGTGATGTCGATAACAGGTGGCTAGTATGTGATTACCCGAGGCAACAGATTAATGCAGAGCACTTCATAGCTGCTGTTAATATCTACCTTTTAGGAGTGCATGTGGTATTTGCCTAGAACTATAATTCTCTCTCTCATCCCCTCAACCCTGTCTCAACTACGAATTGTGTAGGACCCAATATCGTATAGAGTTTCGTTGCTTTGTAGGTTTTCTTTAGCCACGATTCAGTGAAAATTGATTGTTGTCAAGCAGGAGGGCCTCCAGAGCTTTATTTTGTTTGCACGTAGCTGCACACGTTCGCAAGCAAGATCGATAAAGTATGACATGAAGGGGGCGGGGAAGGCACACATACAGTTTTATTAGATAGTGGATTCGTGAAAGCTTTTGGCAATTGCTACGACTTTACTTCGACAATGGATGCTGTAGCATCATTGTTTGTAAACTGTTTATTTTCTATGAACAGCCTGTAAAACCTAACTTTGAATGTACATTTCTTTTCTTGAACAGACAAGTAAATATTTTTATGCACTTGACGAACACGAGAACGATAGTCTTCCTGAATTTAGAAATTAGAGCCTTTAAGTTTGGATCCAGCCGCAAGTATTTTCATTTTATCTTTAAAATGTCCAAGTTTTACGCCGATCGGACAGTTGTTAGTGCCTTGAAAATGGCCCAGCCGGTGGGCCCTTTCGATTGGGTCGCTTTCAAGCTTTACACTTAGATTTTTTATCAAAAAGCTATTACTCTCGATTCAGAACTTTCTGCACCTGGTATTCCAAAGAAAAATTGGATTACAACGAAGCTCGTGATTTTCTGAGTCGTCCCACTTTGTGACTAGTTCTCTTGCTTCAGAGGCAAGTTTAGCGATTGTGGAGCTGGTGACTAGTTCTCTTGCTTCAGAGGCAAGTTTAGCGATTATGGAGCTGGTGTTAGTCAGATACATGCTTGCTGATCTGAGCCACCCTTTCCAGTGCATCAGCTCAAGTGGCGAGGTTGCTAACCATATGTTTGAGTTATCAGCACAACTAAGGGTTAACTCCACCAGTACAGCATTTTAACCTTGTTCAAGGCTAAAAATAGCTCTGGCTATAGTTTCAAGGGACATGGCGGTGTTTTTGTTAGTAGGACCAGTGTTGAGTTTGGCGTCTCCTTACATCAGAAGCAGAAGACTATCAACATGGAAATTGATACATAACAAGTACATTGTCTGGCGTTGCGATCCACATAGGCAACCATACAGGTCGAGTAGGTGGTATGGCACCGCAAGAACACTACGGTCATTAAAATGAATGCTGATGTCGTACGGTAACTGACTAAAATCAAGCATTTATTTTAGGTTTAAGTCTGCCTGGTTCCTTTCTTCTGAATTTTTGTTGCACAGGGGGGGGGGGGGGGGCTTGGTAAAATGAGCGTAGGCTGTATTTCGAATATTTTTCTTCAATGTAGCGACAAATGTTCCCGTCCATTGGCGTTAAAACAGCAGCATGTTTGAAAATACTTTCATATAAAGGATAAGATCTGCACTGTAGTTGAGGTAGAAGTTTCAAGACCATTGCTGATGGTCAGCAGAGATGTCCACTAAGAATGGTAGTCCTGCCATTAACAAAGCTGGTTTACCTTTAAGTGCTCTTCCACCATCAAATGGGCAATATTTGCCCAGGTGCAGATTTGCGCATGCCTGGAAAAGAACAGATAAAAACATGCATTCCTGCCCCATGTGTACCCTTGTTGCCTGCCACTTTCAATTTTTGGAATTCTTTAACTGAAAAGGGGAAAAAGTTTTGACTAGCAATGCTAGAGTACAGTTCATCTAAAAAACAAATCACTGCTACCAGATCTTTAACATCTTCTAAACTGGCTCTTCTAAATGATTTCCTCGACACCACAATGTTTTTATATTCCCCATCGTGAATCCACAGAAACACGAATTTTCGCCGCTGCCAACTTAGGAATTGCGATATTTTTATTTCAGCTTGACTATGCATCTTCTATGTTTACTCCTCTGAGAAGCGTGAAGCGGCGCACACAGCGCGCATGAACTCCTGGTCACTGCGATGCAGGCCAGCGCCGTGGACGCTTTTGCGAATGTGCCCGTTCCTACCTTCAAGCCAAAAAAAAAAAAAAGAAAGAGAGAGAGAGAAAAAAGTAAAACTACGTTTTCGTTTGCAGTGCCACTTTTTCGTTGTTGCAGTCTTTGAACTGCACTACATTAAAATGACAATAGGTGATGCCACACACACACGCACAAAAAAATTGGTCCCGTATCTGCATGTTAATCTGCAAATGTCATTGAAAGACGATAGTCATGCATCTGGAGAGATTGAACAAAACGTTTCTTTGATGTTCTGCGCAGCCCCGCCGCGGTGGTCTAGTGGCTAAGGTACTTGGCTGCTGACCCGCAGGTCGCGGGATCGAATCCCACTGCGGTGGCTACATTCCCGATGGAGGCGTAAATGTTGTAGGCCCGTGTGCTCAGATTTCGTTGCACGTTAAAGAATCCCAGGTGCTCGAAATTTCCATAGCCTTCCACTACGGCGTCTCCCATAATCATATGGTGGTTTTGGGACGTTAAACCCTTCGCATCAATCAATGAATAGATGTTCTGCGCAAAACAATCTGTGAATGGTATTCTGGAGGCGCTGTGTTAGAGTGCCTCGAGCGTGCAGCGGAGGCGAACGAGCGTACCAAGTCTTGTCGCACGTGAGACATGAGCGCTATCTGGCATCTGGCATCTTCGAGAATGAAACACGTGGCTCTGAGACGTGCGCGCCCGTCTCGGAGGTGATTAGGTGTAGAACGCAAGCCAACGGGTAGGTGCCACCACCGTATCGTCTTAGCGAAACGTTGGAAACACTTCCCTTTTCGTGCAAGCGTTGCATGGTCAGCGCCGCGTGATAAACGCTACGGTCCTTAGAATAACTTCTGTATGCCTTTTCTAGTAAAAGACGCACATACAGAACTTATACGGTTATGGTGCCTCAGATATGCGCGATAATTGCTTTTTAGTTGACAATCGCGCAAGTATGAACGCTAAATCTTGAGCAACATTGATGGGTGCTGCGAATGAGGTCGGCCGTTTGGGGTATCCGCTGGTGTCGTTAAATACTCAGTACCGTTAAGAGTGGATAAGCAGACAAATGGACAGACCAAAATTATTCCGTCAAAGGTCCCCAAGAAAGACTATGGTCTTTAAACGAAAATGTGGCGCTGCATTCGAGAGTTCATGCCGTTTGTGGAGATCACTTTTCCTAATGGTATTGCGTGGTTTCAGTGCTCGTGCATAAAGTTGCTCTCGACATCCTTTTTTTTTTTTCTTTTGATGGGGGTAATCGTGTCTTCATTCCCGAGATGTGAGGTTGGGCGCTGTAGGAAATCTGTCATCATGGTGATGACGAGGGATCTTTGGAGGTTGATTTGTCACACACTTTGCCATCTTGTGCCCCATCATGTGTTTGCTACACAGTTTTGGCTGGTTTCAATTTCTTACTCAACCTGACTACCCTTCACGGCAGTGACAAGAGGTAGGCATAGTCTGCTTTCATGACTATTCTTTATTTGGCTATATAGCACGTCGGCGCGTATTTCATTGGTATGCAGCCGACAACTATAGCAAGCCTTCCTCCATGAGTAGCGTGCGTCGGAGCAGGGCTAGGGTTACCCTACGGGTATACTGAACAGCAGCAAATTTGTGGCCAAAACTACATCTCTGCAAGGCCAAGGTGCCGTTTTATAGTGTAGAGAACCTATTTACGAAGTCGGTGGTACGTAAAACTGCCTATGGCCAAGTATACGTCACTCAGCATACAAGGATTGGATTTGCACTAAAGAGAGGGAGGGGGAGTCATTTTTAAAATGGAGCATATTTGTTGTGCGCAGCGCTGTCAAAGGTGATCATTGTGGCTAACTGTACAAGTTGGCGAGCTTTTTGGGGATGCGTTATTTGACGTTTGTAAGTTTGATCCACGACGGCAAGTTATGTTTTTGCCCACTTCACTTTCTTTAACATTTACAGCAGAATTAATAGAATTAACGTTCTCTATGCCTCATTTGGCGTTATTGTTTAAGTTTTCTTCAATTTTATGTGCAAAAAAGAAAAATAAGCCCTTAAGTATTCTACTGTAGTCTGATGCTCTTTGAGACTTGACAGTTTTATATTGTACAGCTAATCTGTACAGTACAAGGTTGCGTACTATCTCATGATTATTGGTGTGAACATAGAGGTGACAAGGTAGGTATTTGATTCTCATTAGAAAAATGTGGATTTGCACACCTCTACTTCTTACTTTCTATTCCTGAAGCCTGCATCCATATCATGACGCAATAAGTTTTGTTAGTTGCTTATCATTGTTTCATGAAACCCTGTAGTTTTTGACATCTGTTAAGCTAGTCAAGTTGTCACTTTCCATTTAACATTATGTTGCAATGCTTGTGCTTTATATATTTTAACAGTTGCTGTGCCTGATAGGAGAGGCCTTTGAGGAGTTCAGCGATGATGTAAATGGTGCGGTTGTCCAAGTTCGTCCCAAGCTCGACAAGATCGCTGTCTGGACTGCTGATGTGCGCCGAGCTGACGGCAATATTAAGATAGGGTGAGTTGGCTTTTTATTTATTTATTTACACAGTTCCTGCAATGCCACAGTAGCATTATTGTAGGGCAGTGTATATGAAAAGCAAGTACAGTTAATGACGTTTTTGTGATAGTAAGTAATACTATAATAAAAAACAAAATTATAACATGCAACAATTGCAGTACGTACACAAAATTTTGGTACGATATGGAACATAGCAAACAGATACAAAAGGTGAAATGCTCGTGTCATATCACAACAATGAAAAAAAAGCACCATTGTCGCTCAAGTTTACTATACCTTCTGGAAGTTCATTCCACTCTCTAATTGTTTTTAAACGTCTTACTTTACGAGTTTATAATTTTATCTGGAGCTCACACTGACTGCCTTGCATGTTGAAAAGTTGCTACGTATGAGAGTTGATAGTGAAAGCTTCAAGCTCAGAAGGGGTTGATGGAAGACACTAGTCTTGTGGACCAAAATTAGGCTTTTTTTTTTTTTTCAAAATGAGCCAAATGCACTATAAATGAAACTGAGAAAAACACACTTTTTTTCTACTGACAATATAGTTGAGCCTGCTCAACTTTTTGCCGGTATGTTCATCTCTCCTAAATACCACAAATTTATAATGTGGCTAAAATATACATAGCCGAATATCGACAGTATTATCGAGTGAAGTTTGTATTTGGCTCATGTAGATTGAAACATTTCATTTGGACATGAATTAGCTAGTGAAATAAGTGTAAGACTGTTGCAATGTGTGGTATATTAATATTTCGTGATATAATTGACACCATACTTGTGCTTCCGTCACGTCACGACACCAACTTGTGCTTCCGTGCTTCAACGCATGGGCATAATGGCGAAAAAAAGGGGCACTATTCTGGACTGTCATCAGGGTTTTCTTGTTCCTGGCATCAATTGAAGGCCTTGAAAAGTGTTCATAGTTTTATGCTATGCCTTTTCTGACCACTTCTTCTTTTTTAGGGAATAGACGCCCAATATCTTTGATTCATGCCTATTTTATTTCAAATATACCGTGTTGGAGTGAACGGAGGACAAGGTACTGTTGTGCTAATGTTGAGTACAATCGCTAAATGTAAAAAGAAGCAGGAACGTCAGCCTCTTACTCTTTAGAATTGACTTTTATCACGAAACATGATGTCCTTCAATAAATGCAAACTTGTGCTATAAAACCTAGTTCAAAACAGCATAACAAGGCAACTAAGAAGAAAAACATTTTGAATGGGACCATATTGGTAAATTTGGTCATGTTTGTTGGAGCAGAGCTGGTTTAATGAATGTGGCTCACTTTGATTGAAACAGTTGGAGTACTTGACTCAGTTTTCATTAGAAACTGCCTTTTCGAGCTCATGTTACAAAAAGGAATTGCCCCATTTTGATTTTAACTGTTCTGGAAATTTAAGATACTTAGGCATGCTTTAGGTTCAACTGAAGTTAGCCTAGTTTCAGTTTCTGCATTCAGCTCTTTTAGAAAAAAAAAACTCCTCAAATATTACCACAAAAGAAGCTTTCTAAAACTTTTCTCTTGACTTTTTTTTCTGCCCATAGTTATCAAAGAGAATCTATGGCTGCTATAACACACCTGCTAAGTCTCCCGGCTTGGCTGGGAGACTCCCAGTTTTCGACTGTTTCTTCCGTTTCTACGGTTGTCATGAAAATCTCCCGGAAATCGAAATTTCAGTGCCTGCTCTTGCTGCATTGGCAAAAAAGCAGCTGAATCGTTATAAATGAGTTTGAGGTGTTCATCTAAACAAACAGTAGAATCTCAGCAATGCGAAACCGCGGCATATACGAAAGTCTCTGGCCAAATTCCACTATGTCTATTGGGCCTAAACTCGAATGCTCTGAACACATTTCCTGATCGAGGTGGGTGATACGAACTTTATTACGGAAACTGTCGAATGAAGGCCAAGAGCAGCGTACTCGACGCTTTGGAAGTACGCGTGAGATCACTGTTGACACGATCCTGTATGTCGACGACGTAACTGACAGAAGCCCGAAAGTGTACACTCAACCAGCGTTGCTTTGACTGGTTGAGTCAAGCAACTCTGCGAACAGATCTGCGGTACATGTGATCTTAGATCGCATAAAACGACTTTAGTTTTGGCGCGTGCGCATCCAAGCATACAGGTATTGTAAAAGGAACAAGCCTTTGCCGCAACCGCCGCGTACAAAACCGTGGACGCAGCGACGCGATAGCGATCTACGAGCTCCGAGGACACATAGTGCTAGGTAGGCCCTAAGTACGTAAAAAAACAAACAAGTCGCAGACAGTTTTGCTGTAAGGGTGAAGCAATGAATGCTACAGCAACCACTCGGAGTGTCATGCTGAGAGCGGCAAGTAGATTGTAACATGCAGCGCGCTGCTCTCGCACAAATGACTCACGAAAACGATACACACAGAAGAACGAACTAATGTTTACCGCTGGACATGTAACGCACTGTTTAAACAAAAACAATGCATGATTTGTAATCATAGGTACTGATGAATACAAACTAACAAGTGTTGTCCCAGTTGTTATACCTTGCTGTGTATGAAAAGCGTGCTCTTTTCGCAAACGGGGCCTGTGCAGAGACCAAAGTGACCTTAGTGGGCTGGGCAACTAACTCAATTGTTCCAGTAAAAGCCGCATGCACACGATTCTCCCCACCAAAGGATGAGCGCGCGCACAAGCATCTAAATCACCCCCCCCCCCCCCCCCATCCCATCCCATCCACGGGCAAAGTACACCTAAAAAGTAAGCGCCCGTCAGTGTATCGCGACGAGCTGGAGCTTTTTTTTCTTTTTTGAGGGTTCATATATATAGATACGTATACATACGGTGAATGACGGCGGCGACAGCAAGAAAACCAGCCTAGACTGTCCATAAAATTGCTATCATTAAAAATAAGAAAGGCCAGACGCATTTTGGCGTTCTGTGCTTGGGGATGAACAGATTTGGTTGTACTTCGGCTACGGTAACATCGTCAGTGCATTGGGCGGCACGATTGGTGCCCCATGGCACCAAGCAAACAAAACTTGATGCTGGTCACAAAAACGTGCATGCAATGTCTAGTCTGTCTGGTGGGATTTAATGCTGTGGTCGGGTTTTTTTTTTTTTTTAACCTGCACTGACATTGCAAGTATGCAAGCCTCCACCATTTTGCCTCCACTGAAACGCTGCTGCTGCGGTTATGATCCAACTTGCATGTTGTTTCAGGTCAGTAGCCAAGCACCATAATCAGTGATTAGTACTGAGCAACCACAATGGCAGAGAACATGTGACATGCAAGACTGCTCAGACACACTTGAGCCCCCCATAAAAACCAACTGACGTATTAATGATCACGGCTCATCCAACCTAGCCATGATAGTGGTACATAGTACAGTAAAAGCTCGTTTATCTGGACCTCGTTAACTCGGAAATTCGTTTAACTAAGATTCGCGGCGCGGTCCCGGCAAAACTGTGTATATTTCAATGAGGTCAAATGCTCATCAATTCGGAGGGATTTAGCCGTGCACCAGTTATCTCGGACAACTCTGGAGAGGGCTATCGGGACTCCAGAGTCGTGCGATCTCGGTGGCTTGGAGGCTCAAGCACCGCTTGCTGTAACCGACCGCCACCGACAGCAGCATCGGAGTTCTGAAGAAACCGAAACCGAGCGAACTGCAGCAGAATATGACCATGAGGATAGTGATTGAGGGGAAGTGGCTAGGTGGCGCTAGTCACCATCCGGCGGAAGCGCTTGGGTCACCGGTGCATCCAGTGTCTACTATCAGCTCCTCGCTACGCCTACTGGTGTACTTCGTGCCTTGGTTCTTTGTGTTGTGACTTCGCGTGTTACGGCTGTGTTTGTGCGCGTTGCTGCCGCCGTCGCGCTTCATGGCGACCGTCACCTGAATTAAGGGGGGACGCAGGTCATAGAATGGTGAAAAATGGCCAAAAAGTCGATTTTGAGAAAATGTGACATTGGAAATTTTTAGACCTATAAGCACGTGTCCTCAAATTGTGAACACTGAATTCGATCAGTAAATGGATTAAAATTGATTATGAAGTCGCCACCGGTGAGGCAGTCAGCCGATCGCCGCCATCTTGGGCTTGTTTTGAAGCCGATTCCTTTGTGCACATTTTGCCACCCTTCAAAATCGCGTCGCTTAAACAGAACAGCTGCCCTCGCCCCTTTTTCGGAGCCCCCTTCCGGGCCGCTGATTGGCCGGAGCACGCGCGCACCAGGCGAGCCCCCTGTTCCTCGCTTCCCATTGGCTGATGTGGCCAAAGTTGCCCGCACTTTTTTTTATATTGTTTGTCGGCCGCCGGTTCCCGTTCGCGCACGTTGTTCGTCTGCTTTTCGCACGTGCCTGCTTGTGCTACGCGACCGATGCACCGACTTTCCGTCTTTTGCCGGCATGATTGGAGACGCTCGTCTAAAGAAGACGCGCCAAGCGTATGGCAAGAAACGGAGGCGCCCGTGGAACGCCCGCCAGAAGAAAGCAGCCGACAACGTGCAGCCGATTTCGCCCGATGCCGCCGAAGCGGCGCATTCTGACGTCGGCGCGCAGCCGCGGCCGCTTGTGTCCGAAGCGGTGCACTCTCCTGTGCCTTGCAGCAGCACCTCATCAGATTGTGTTGTTGTCGGATCGTCATCTTGCACTTCCAGCAGCATCCTAGACCGCATTGACACGGCGTTTTATTCGGCGGACGAGTTTGCTGAGTGCGCGAGAAATGCTGCGGGCTTGAAGGCATCACTCGCATCGCAGTGCGCGACGGGACGTAAGTTTGAGTTGCTAGATATTGATCTGGAGGATGATGGCAAGGGAAACTGGACAGAATTTGTTATTGTTGATCTGGCGGCGATACGCTCGTTATTTGGACTTGTCGCGTGCCCAGAATGGGGTGAAAGAAGTGTCACTATTTCAAAGGCCTAGAAAGAGTACGGGCTGTGTTCGAAGCTCATAGTCACATGCGGCAGTTGTGGCTTTCGCGAAGAGCGTTTTTCGTCCCCACGTATAGCCGACG